CTCCACCTTACCTCTGTGACCTCCTAAACCCTACCAACCCCTCCGCTCAGCCGGCTCCAGCCTGCTCCACGTCCCCCGACCCACCCTCCCCACCATTGATGGGAGAGCCTTCAGCCACTCTGCCCACAACCTCTGGAATTCCATCCCCCAATCACTCCGCCTCGCCCTCTCCTTAGCCTCCTTCAAGTCCCACCTCAAGACCCTCCTCTTTGACCATGCCATCGGTCACCCCCCCCTTCCCCTCCCCTCCCTTCTCCCTCCCTGACCCCAGCTCGATTCTGAAATGCTGTACACTGTCCACCTTGGGACTTCCTCCCGACATGAAAGGCACTATACAAATGTAATCTTGTTGTTGTTGTAAAGTGCATTGGGTAATTGAAGAGGAAGTCAGATTGAAATGTATAAAGCATCAAGTGATGGATCCTGGCAAGAGTTAATCCCTTTGGAAGAAAAGTGGCAAAAAAGTACATGGGAATGATGGTTAGCTAAGTGCTTATCATTCATGGTGCTTACTCACAGGGTTATATTCTTTATCTGCTTTTAACATATCTTTGAAGCACCTGGGATCAATGACTTTCCATTGATGTTAATTTAGCTCCTTCAGACAGTCGGGATCAGTAAGATCTCCAGAGCTTCGGTGACGTTGTCAGCATTCATTGTTTAAATAAATGTGTTCTAGCAGTCACAAGAATCTTAGAAATTCAGAAAAGAATGATGAATAATGCATCTTCAGAACATTTTGATTATTTTGAAAAGAAAATTGGTGAGTTTTATGAAATGATTTGACCTGAACAAAATCAACTTCCAATTCCCTTTTTAATTAAGAGGCCCCCACGGTCTGAAATTATTGGAAATTCTTCAGTTCCATCTTTATTTTCACACCAAGTTCATTGTGAAACTTGCTCCAATCCTAACTGTAATCCTTCTCAGCTCCACTCACCTGCCCACTCTCTCTCTACTTTGCAAACTCAGACCTGCTGCAAATTCCCCTGCGTCTCACCATTAGTAGCCGAGCTTTCATCCCTCACTCAAGAACTCCTAAAATCCCTCTGCTTCACACACTCCCTCATAACTTCCAAAACTCTTCGACCAACTGCCCTCGTTAACACCCATCCATAAAAAAAAATTCCATACAAAGAAATTTCCCATAGCTTTTATTTATGGAAAAATTAAATCAAATGGGTCAAAGAAACTTCTTCATCTGAACCTCTTTCGTAATGAAATTATAAATTCTTTGAGGGAAAACTAGAAATGCAAGCCTATATATTACCACAACAAACACTGAATACTATTAGTCAAATGGGTTCAGTGAACTACTAAAATCAGGTCAAGCATACAGCTTGCAACTGCAACAAATTGCATTATTCCTAACCTAACATTCAATAGTGAGTCAGGTTATAAAATGCACGTAATAACTTAGAACTTCTCGGTAACTTTCAGACTAAATTACATAAGGCATTTTCTGTGTAGATAGCACAGAATTATTTTCGTAGCACACCCTTGAATTGGGATTGAAATAGGCTCATTTGCAGATTTGGATATAGTATAGTGCCTTTCACATCAGGAGGAGACGTCCCAAAGTGCTTCACAGAATATATTGTAAAATGTCACTTTTTTTTGTGTGCGCAGGTGATGGATTTCCAGAAATCCACCTGACCAAAATAAATTGCATGCAATTGGTGGATACAACTTACATTTATATATAGTGCTCTCTCTTCACATACAATGATGCATTTACAGTGGTGGGGCCAGACTCGAAACGGGATACATCCAAGCACCAGACCAGTTGAAGTGACTGTAAAATCAGAATTACAGGTCTTGGTGTTGTCTGTCCATAAAGACCTTCCAGATTGCTTAGTGTTATAATTTAGCTGTATTTGCTGTTTGCTTTTCAATCCTAAATGTTACAAATTTAGCATTAAGTTTAAATGTGACTGATTCCTAATTGCAGCAGTAGTGTTTTCAATCACAGGCAAAGTCGATAGAATTTTTACTTTGAATGAAAATCTTTCCTCAAAACTCATACGTTTAGATAATGGAGCAAAGTGTAATTGCTTAGTACAGAAATGATGGAACAAAGTCAAATGGGAAATGAGATCAAAACTAATTACTGCTATGTACGTGACAATATTGGCTAGCAGTTGTTTCTACACAGCACATATGTTGACTTCAATTGGACAAGAGATTTCCTTAGAATAATGATATTGAAATTAGTTTGCAATTTGAGCCCTAATTATCAAAGGAATACAAAAAAGATGTACTGTTCTATTATTAACTGTTCAAAATGTCTCCCCACACACTGATGTACTTGTTTAATTTTCATGAATACTAGTTACTCCTATTGTTACAGTTTCTAAAGCGAGATTAACAGATAGTATGTTTAAATATACTCATGTAAGTGTTAATTACAGAGGCAATAAGAACACAGAATCTCTTCAATGTTATCATATCTTGTAGGATGTCCATACAAATTGACCTTATCGATTTCATCTATTGAAAGGACGGGGCATCTGCAGTGAGCAAATGGCAAATGACGTTTTCCTTGAGTCTCAAATCTGGTTTCTGTAATGACTGAGGTTAAGTGTCTCAAACTAATTGTAATTTGGACAGTTTGATCAGAAATTAAAGCACTGTAAATAAAGTGGTGATGTCTATAGTTCCATAACTCACCATTTTTATTCTGGCACATCAGAGAAATGTGAACAGATCATATTATGCTTTGTAGCCCAGTGCTCTGAGACTTACTTTTTAAAAAATGTTTTTGCAACAGTTTTTTTCAAGATATTCAACTGTGGCTGTTGAATGCAATTCTGTATCATTCCATTAAAAAAACTGATGCCTTCAAATGTTGCTGCTGGTGCTGTAAATAACTAATGGATTAAATTTTGCAGCAGTCTCGTCAATGCAGAATAAATTTAGTATGCAAATGACGTGATCACCCACAGACTATTACATGAATGTAACGGATAAATGTCAACTAAGTGATTTTTACAGGAAAGCCTTTTTCTAAGAAAAATAAATCTAAAGACTCTTGAATATTTAGAAGAGATACTGCTTGCAGTGCTATTACAATCTTGCCCTAATAGTCACATCTATCAGCACACTTATTGAGAAACTTAGATAAAGAACAAGAATCCCTAGTGGACAACACCAGCAAGATTGAAACTAATTATATTGAAGCTGTGGTTTGGGTGGTGCCTAGTACGGATTTGAAACGACTGGGTTGCAAGGAAGAAGAATTGAGAGAAAATTGTAGGAGGAATGGCCCTGTCGAGAGAAATACTTGAAGAGCTTCAAGGAATCTAAGATAGTGACTAGGGAGTCTAAGAGGATTTAGGAGGAACAACTTCACACAAAGTGTAGTGAGAATGTGGGACCCGCTGCCCAAAGAGGCAGATGAAGCAAATTGTATAAATGCATTGAAGAGAAAATTAGATATCAACATGAGGAAGAATAGGATAGAAGGGTATGGGAGGGAATGGGTGGAGACTTGTGGAGTATAAATACCCACAGAAAATGGTTGGGCTGAATGATCTGTTTCCTTGGTGTACAGTCCATCTACAACTATGTAGATACAGAGACAGGATTCAAAATGGACCAGAAACCTTATTTGTTGATGACTCGGGGTTAATTGTTCATTGCAATAATGAAACCTGATGTGTTGGTAACTCAAATTACTCTGTGCTTTTTACCGAAGAAAGCATGTTCCATGAACATTGGAAACGCTGGTGGAGGAAGATGCTGGTGGAGGGGCAAGAATACCCATTTTCTGATAACAATGTTGGTGAATGGGCCAGATGACTAGTGCACTATGCCTTGGACACGCAGGGAATCTGGTTCAAATTCCTACCTCAGGTGACATCTGTACTAAAGCTGGCAGGTTGCCAGTCTGTCCAGAATCACTGTTGAGGTCAGGTAACTAGCTAATAGAAAGGAATTATAGCTAAGATACTTCATACTTCATATCATACTTTACTGCCCACCATCAGCCTGCAGGACATCAACAATGGAGGATATGGACTTGTCAGCCATTGTCCAGGTCTGCCCTTCACTATGAGTCTTAAGAAGAGTGAAATGATTTAAAGTGGAGAGAGGCAGAAAAAATGAGTAGCTGAATTTTGGACAGTTCAAATATATTCCTTTTTTAATATTTTATTGAACAATTGAATATATACAACACTCACTGGAAACTGTGTGAACTTTTAGTTATCCATTTATTATAAGATTTGTGTAAATTAGAGCCTCTCTTTGCTTTTAACCAATTCTTCTGTAAGAGCCTGATGCTCCTTGTTATTATCTTTTCAGTAGTCTTGTGACAGAACTTGATGATTACAGAAATGAAAAGATCAATAAGTCAAATGGCCAATTGAGCCTATTTGTAGAATCCAGCAAATGGGTTGCCATACATTGTGAGGAGCTGTCAAAGAAAATATAAAATCTATTTGTTCCTGAACGTACAATTCTACACTCTCCTTTTATCTTCCTGTCACACCACACTCCTTGGAAGTGGGATGGACGTATATGTCATCTTGTGCAAGAATGCTCATGTCTTTCAAGTTGCTGGTTGCTTTATACATTAGAATGCATCTTATAAGCATCAGACTCAGATACGGAAGTGAACTCAAACTCAGGCTGTCAGTGAAAAGTTTTATTTGTGGTATGACGCTTACCAAGTTAACAGCTTTGCCCGACTTTGAAATTGCAGTATGATGCGGGCAACTGCACAGTTAGAGAAGGACAGAAAAACACACATCCAAACGTTCATAAAACACACACACACATACAGAGTTAGAGACTCTGACAGACAGAGTCATTGTGTGTGTGGGATCCATTCTTTGATTTAAATAGGATTGTTACCCATGCAAAAGGTGATTTTAGATTACCTCATAATTTTACGAATATTTGATGCATGGAAAATGCTATACATGAAACTGATAAATGAGAATTCTCAGTTGGAAATGTATTAACCAAATATTTATTTTCTCTCTGAAACCCAATAGGGCTGGCTGGTCTGCGAGGAACAAACTTGCCAGAATCGCACACGCCAACTTCCTTTTGCCTTCTCTCGAACTGGTCCAAAATGTCAAGCCTGCATGAAGGCTATACTTAAACCAGAGGTAACCGCTGCTAATCTCATGCTGCCTTGCAGTAACATTTATAATTGTAAATTTGTATTGTGTTGCTGTGTTGTAACTTGTGTGCACTTTTTCTCAAATACGTATATCAATAATGGTAGGATGCAAAATGTTTTGCATACCTACTTATGAGTTTTAATTCTTTTAATTCTAATTTTAATAGCATAATTTTTTGCGTATGCAATTTTTATGCTATATCCACCCCAGCAGTACAATTGCAGATTTTGTCCATAGAATTGAAGGTGCTGATGGTCCAAAGGTCAATAACTTGTGTAAATGTTAAAGTACTAATGGCTGTATAATTTGAAAATCCTAGCAAGCAACACTAGCTACTTCAAGAAGCTTTTGCTGTATGTACATCTTGTGAGACAGTCAACTCATCACTGATAAATGACTCAATATACAATGTTTGCAGTTTTATATGAAATAAATATGCCTGAGTTTTTAATTTAATTAATGGCATCAGAAATTACAAAATATTCAATCATTTTTTTTTCTGTCTAGAGAGTTTGCAGCCAATCTCATGGATTGTTTAAGTGGTTGTGTTTTGGAATTTAATTGAAGTTTTGGATTATTTAGATTTGTTTTTCTTTTCTGTCAGTCATCTGCATTACAGATATAAATTTTTGGTCAGTTTCAACAAACCTTCTGCATCAGCTGTTCAGTACCTTGCAGGAGCTAAATGTACATTTAAAATTCTATAATGTTATGCCACCAGTTTTATGAGAGGTTTTTATCAGAGGAGATTAATTATTTTCCAGGTGCTGCACATGAAGTTACTCAAGGTCAAAATAGTATAGTTTGGTCCCACTCCTTTGTAGTTCTCTCAGGGAGAGAAAGATTTAGGCCCATTCTTCATGTAAAGGCTGAGCAGGTAAGGTAATGTTTGTCATTTCGATGATCCAATTTATATTATCTTTTCCAAACTCGAGAACCAATCCTACTCTGATTGAGATGCTCAATGTTGTAAGGAAATAGACTTGGCTCACCAGAATACCAACAGTGGGCAGTATAGTTGGGATATCCTCCTGACGTGAAAGGCGCTATACAAATGTAATTTGTTGTTGTATAGTTGATAATGCAGTAGTGTTGGGTTACTTCTCAAACCGTCTTTATGTGTGTAAAATAATCTTCAGACTTCAGGTAGATTTCAAAAGTTCTTCATTATTACCGCACTGCAAACAGGTTACAGTCCAGGCACACTCTTGTGGTTCGAACAAAGAAAAACTTGGCACACATTCCATATATAGGTATAATGCTCCAATCACAATGCTGTAATTAAGTTTTGTGCCTACCACTCTAATACCACCCTCTTCTAGCTGTCTCTCATATCCCTAACTCCGTCTCTTCCCACTGTCCTAATATGAACTTGTTATTCAGTTACTCTTTCCTGTCTTTGTTCCCCATCCTTGGGCAGCTATCTGGTCCATTCCAGTTTAACCTACTCTATGCTGATTATAAAACCACTAGCCTGAGCAGTTTTTGTACAGGGTCACTATCGAGCAGTCAGGCCAGAACTCCTGTTCTCCTTCAAGTAGTTCAGAACTCATTTCCAAGACAGGTCCATCCTTCTATAAACAAATGCCACCATCATACTTCTCAAACTAAAAGGATTCAAGTCAGATTTGATTGCGTTCTGGACATGTAGAATAAACTATTCAGGAAGATGATTTTGTGTCTGTAAGATCAAGATGGAATTTGTGTTCTGCGTCTTTGAAAATACAGTAGAACCCTGAGGTCTACTGTTTTGAGTAATAAAAGCTGAGTTAGTACCCAATGTCTACCAGGCCTTTCGAACAGCCCTTCTGTACTAATGTGGCCTTCATCATTTTTGAGTGAATTTGAGCACATCTGGTTTGGTTTGTGAACCGTTCTTCAGTACGGTGCTGAGGAGGGTGGAAAGTTTAGTCTTTTACTTAGCTCTTCAAGCAAAGAACATGTTTATATTGCAGGGTCAGCTTGCAGAGTATAAGACACATGGCACAGCAGGTTTATGGATTGGAGTTTGAGATCCATTACATGAAGTCCAATGAAGTCAAAATAGAAAATTGTTGAGGTGAAGGAGTTAATTGCCAATCTATAATCTGGAAGTACAGCTGGTCTCACAGCAAGCTAACCTCTTTCCCAAAGCCCTATGTGAGAACCTTGATCAAGCTGACAGTCAATGTACAACTTGGACTGTACAACTTCACCATTTGCCATGAGCTTCCTATAAAGATCTCCATTACACTTAAAATTAATGTCCATCAAAAAACTGATAAGGAATTCTGAGGCTTAAGGTGTTACTTGACCAGCCATTCTCAAGTATAGTACATGCTCCTATAGATTCAGTGGCTAGTCTGGTTTGAAAGTAGAGCATCAGCAAGTGCTGTATGTAATTGGCTGCTGTATAAAATATACAGTCAATTCTCTTTGAGACGTCTCGAAGACGTGATAAAGCGCTATATCAAATGCAAGGATTATTATTATTACTGTTGAACTTCACACTTATAACTAACCGGTAGAGACACCTCCATTAAATGGTTTACGCAGTGTATTTGAGTTGTAATGCAATTGCTCATGTTAGGTATAGTTCTGTTGGTCACCAAACTGATTGTGAGGAGTTCCTGATTCCAGCAGCTTCCTCTTTGGGATTGGTAAGCTGTTTTGTTTGGGTTTTTTTGGGGGGTGGGGGGGTAAGCTGGCTGCCTGGGGATGTACGCAGCAAAAGGAAGGAAGAACTTGGACTCAGCGATCCAAAGCCTAGACTTTTTCTCTTGAAAACTAGATGGCTTTAATGCATTTCCATTCACTCAGGATATTCATCTGAATAAGGTTTCTGCTTCAACTCCAAAAAATGTATTTCTAAGTTGGATGAGTCCAGGACAAAATGTGAGGTTGTTAATTGCATAATCAAGGGCCCCTAAATCCTTTTATACATATATGTTTGAACATGGTTTATACAACTCAAATAATACACCCATAGTTATACCACATGCATTATAAAACCTAATATCATGCATGCTTTGTTGCTATGGGATAGATTAATTTTAATAATGCTAATTAAGGTGCAGTCCATGTCATTTTGTTGGCCTGGAATAAAGTATTGGGCTTTCATGTTGAAAGTCTTTAATTTTGTCGGCCGCTACACTCCTGGGATCTACAACATCCTCCACTTTAAAAAATGTTTAATGGCAAGTGGTTAAAATAATTTTATGGTGTAAAGACATTGCTTTACAGTCATAATTTGTAACCAAACTTTTGTTAATACTATTTGGGTGAAATGGCTTTCTTCTGTGCTGAAAAATTCTATGATTCCATGAAAATATAAAATAGAATAGGGAAAAGACAGCGGAGTCAGACTAAAGAGATAGATCTTACAGAGAGCATGATGACACAGTCATGATGGGCCAAATGGTGTGCTGAAAAATTCTATGATGCTTCTTGTTTGATCAGAACTTAAAATGCTTAAAGAGTTGCAGCTTTCTGACTCCATCTACATGGAAAATCCATTGGAGATCAGCTTTTGATGTTGAGATACTTCATCAAATTTCTCTTTTGTTATATAATCATTTCTCTTCTGGTATATAATTATTTTTTTCTCCATAAACTTTGAACTTTAACTTTTTACATTTTCTTTGCAAGTCACCAAGCTCCTGACCCTCATAACATGGCAGGTACCTCAATTTAATTGGCATGTGGATGAGATAGCTCTTAAACTCCATCTGAAGCTTTTATCTATAATTATCTCAGAATTCTGTCTTTCTCAAGAATAGAGTCACCGTGATTTCTGCTCCTGCATTCCTTAAAGATCAAATTTCATCGACATGTAAAAATTGGAAAGCTTTTTCTTGATCAGTGGGTGTCTGACATAAGCGGAAACCAACCCCCATGTTTAAGAGTATCCAAACCAACTGTGAGTTCCACATATGCATGGAAATATCCTTAAACGATGCAAAAACTATACCAATAGGACCAAACTCTAATGGAAATGATTTGTTTGGCTTTACTTGAGATAGCTCCAACACTAAATGGACTTTGATTTTAAAAGGGTGAGCTATGGGTTCAACAACCAATGGGTGTGATAAAAACTTGTTTTGCTCAAGTGATGGGCACCTTATGGACCAGACGCTTATGGCAGGATCTTAGAATGTCATGTGGGGGCCTCGAAAAACAATCTTCATTCCTTCGCTAAATGCTGTTGTGTGTACCAACATTCTAATTAATCGTTTCATTGGGACTGAACGTGGTTAATGCACTCCCATGTCTTTGTCCTTCTGTGGTACCACACCAATTGTAGAAGAATAAATAAGTGTAGAAAAGAGCAACAGCAACAACTTGCATTTATATCGCGCCTCTCGCGCAGGTTAGCGTCTCAGAGCGCTTAGAGCTCAGGTTAGCATCCCAGAAAAGAAAAGTGCTTACTTTGAGATAGTACATTTCCTTCTTTGTATGACATGCTCTTGAATTCCTTCTAAATTCCTGACTGATTCAGAGCATTTAAAGACTATTTAGTTTTGGTGTTTTCTGTGTAATCATAGCTTACACCACAGACTGGCCCCATGACAAAAATGAGAAACCCTTCTCCGAATGAAACGTGTTCGTTTTTACCTTGCTTATTTGTGAGTAGTTGGGTGTCCTTTGTACATTTTATCCCTTATTCCTTGTGTAGTAGGATCAAGTAATACCAAAAGGGACGCTTGTCATCATCAATACGTACTAATGTGTCTTTCTGAAGTGGCTCCTCACATACGTGCTGAATAAAACATTAACTTCCTCTCCCAATCTTGTCCTTACTCAATTCTAGCTTCACAGCTTTATTGACAGCAATGGTTACCAACCTACTTTTATCGAAAGGCGAAAGAGATTGACTATTATTGTGTCCAGATTAAATGAGAGAGTAATGTTACCCCTGCTTGATTGTATTGTAATTGGTCAGAGTTATGTACAGGTGCAATTCGTAATATTTTCAGTAAATTAAATTTTTTTCTCTTTTGCCTTTTATTGAAGTACGTTCAAATGCCCATTAGGGCTTCCTTTTTTCCTGTGGAAATTGCAGCATGTTAATTTTCACACAAATTACAGCAATAGCAGGTATCTCTATTTGATATATTGTAACAGGAGCAATCAAAGATAATTGAGTGCCTTTCAGATGGAAACTGGTGCATTCACTTCAATTCAAAGCGAGTCCATTTATCGCCTAATCGGTCTTTAAACAGTAAATTTCTGGAACAAAAATTCTTGTCATAATTTTGCTTAAGTGTATTTGGAAATCACAGTCCTTTGAGCAAGGATAATTGAAATCAAATCCCTTTCAATGGAGATGACATTTCTACATTTTCCCAGTTGAAATTAATTTCAAAAATTGAGCATGAATATCGTCAAATGGCAGGCAATTATAGCTTTCAATGGAAAGACATTATGCGCACAAAAAAAGTGGAGACATCAAATACTGCATCAGCTAAATGTCTTTGTTTCCTACTGTGTTTGCCTTGTAAAGATTTACATATTTTCTGCAGATATTGACTCATCATGCAACCCTGAGATGCAGATAGCCTCCCTTCTTTATTTGAGCCCATTAACAGTAACTAAAATAAGAACATTTTTAGCTTTATGGGAACTGATTGGATTTTTTTCCACAGCTGTGAAAGCGTTAGCTTTATTCAGGCTATTCACTCAAACTGGGATTTAAGGACATTGCGAAAATGACTATCTATTGTAAATACACAGGTTTTGAAAGTAATTTCAGTGCAATCATGCTGCCTTTTGGAACTAGATCGGCAATTGTTTCAATAACCAAAAAAATTGTGTTACTGAAATATATTTCAATGTGCAGTTGACTGTCCAGGGGAGGGCAACAGGTCATTTCCTTTATTAAGGTCTTGCGCGAATGTTATGAAGAGGGGAGTTTTTTAAGAAACAATTTCACAGTTGGTTTGCTCCTTACTCACTCAAGCCTAAAAATGTACTGAATTCTTGGTGAAAAATGAAATAGATGTCACTCCCAAACAAAGACAGGTGCTAAACTGCAGGAGATAGTGAGAGGTAAAAACAGTATCCAGCTTTAATAGCAAAAGCAAATGTTAGCTAATGGCCTGTTCTCAGGAACTCGTTAAGGCATCTCTAAGCAACCAAAAGATAATTGACACCATTTATTTCTGCTGGTATGTTTTCCTCAAAGTGGTTTGCTTTATTTGATTGAATTTAGTCCCTCTTCAGGGTGAAAGATCTGTCCTTCAATTCTTATTTGTAAAAAAACAAATCTAAACTCACAAAGATGTTATAGAACATGATCCACAACGGTCCAAGTTGATAGGGTTATATAGACTGATGACTGGTTTATTAATTGCAGAAGAAAAATTCAACTGCAGTTGTAATAAAGTATCCATGTCATGAGACAGGAAATGTGAGCATTATTTATACGAACTCATAAATATTTGTAATTGAGCTGACCTGCTAAGCCAGTTTTTAATTATTTGGCCAGCACTTTGACATACACAGGAGTAGCTGTTTGCGTCATTTGGAGTTCAAGCAAGTTCTAGAGGCCATTCGCTGTAACTAGTTTTGTTTACTCTGAATGCATTTCAATAAAGTAAGCAAGTTTATGGTAAGTAGTCATTGTGGTGACCTTCAGGGCTCTTTTCCAGTCCAGTAATGTCCGCACACTTTAACAATAAACTACTCCGCAGTGATTGGGCATAATTTCATATGTCTGGCCTTCTGATAGGTAAAATTCACAAATTACTTTGTTGAAAGGGAGTAGGAGATCCAGGCAGGATAAGTGTTATTTCCAGCACTTGCCCTGCAATTAGAACAGATTAATAATTAATTTTCAATGTTTTTAACCTAGCCATTATTTTACATTATAGAAGATAGTGGAAAGGTGCTGACTACTTTATTCTGATTAGCAGAACTGCGAGTGGCTGCCATTTCTGCTTTAGCTGCCAATATAGGTTGTCGATGGCTGCTACAGCTGGCTGGCATGAGGAGTTGTATATCCATTACCAGCTACAAAGCACTTTGCATTTCTGAATTGACAAGCAGCTATATTGACCTAGCGCTTATTATGGGTCAACAGCTGCATTAACCAACGGAAGGACTGAGGGGCAATTAAAATGAATTGGCAAAAATATATCTTCCTAATTTACTCAAATTTGTTATTTATGCTAACATTGTATGGCTTCTATGGTGACACTAAACAGAATGGACCCAATAATGGCAATTAACATAAAAATATAATGGCTAATCAAATTGACAGCAACTGTTTCTCATCATCTCGGCACACAATGCATTATCAAAACAAACTATTATGAAGGAGGCAATTTCACTGTTCTATTCAACCAGCTGCATGTGTGCAGTCAGGGAGATGTGTACCATCAATTACTGCTGAATCTAAAACTAAACAAATAACTGAATCACTATCCTTGGGTTTTTAGATGAATAAGTAATCACATTTTTGACAAATAGTACAGATTATCATATTTGTCAGATGATGTGAAAAGAGCAGTTTGCTGAGAACACATTCCTTTTAATCGCAGTTCCCAATTTAAACCTAGTTGTGTGGTTAAATATTAGTTTAAAAAGTGTAATGGCAGCATAAATGGGAACATGGACACTTCCAATTCCAATCTACTCTAACTGTTTAGTTACAAATGATGACTTGATAGCAATTTTTTTTAAGTGTACCTGGTATTTGAAATTACAGAAATTGTGCTAAACATATGAATTTGTCTTGTATTTTTCTGCCTTCTCTTTAGTATCCCGATAAGGCGCTGTACACTCAACTGTGCTACTATTCCTATATATTTGACTGGGATTATGCAACTGAAAAGGTTCTGCCCGAGCAGGAAAAAGGTAAGGGCTGTATAAAAATAAAACTACCGTACGTGGTTCAATAGTGATATTAGTGGAAAGAAAACTTGGGTTTTCTTGGAAATGCTTCATTGAGGAAGCAGCTCAGTTGAACCATTGATAGAATTGTGGCTTCTTCTGACGTAGGAAGTCAGTTGTCTCATTTTGAGCTCTATTGTATATTTGTGCAGAAACAAGAGTTTATAGGCTATCATAATGTTTTATACATCGCTTTGGATATTCTGGTAACACTAACTTATGTAATGTAGATAAAATAAACCTCTTAGCCATGTCCCAGTTTTTTCACATTGTGGTAACTTTTTGGTAAATTGAAAATTCTGAACAATACTTCCTACCCTTTCCATTGTGTTTTCAAACTTTTTCATACAAAAATAACAAATTACATTTGATAGCACCTTTCACGTGGGAGGGGATGTACATTGGCCATGTAGAAAGTTCTGCCCCTTGCCAAAATCTTCCCTTTTGAATACGACATCTATGCACATTTAGTCAAAAAGAAAACTAAAATGTAAGCCGTTTCACAAAGCTCACAATGGTTTGAAAACGTAAGGTAGGCCTGAAATTGAGCATCAAGTGTTGGGACCATAGGGAGGTATGTGCATGATTTGATTCAGTGATAATAAACTCCTAAACCAGATTTTACCCGAGTTGAGTTAATTCATAAAATTAATTCTAGATCATGAATTCTAAATTTGATAAATGAAAGTTATTCTCATTGCTTTATTCAATAATAATCCTTGCATTTGAAATAAATCACTATACTGATGTCAACTACTGCAACTATTTTTTCATAAATAAAAGCTCTTAATGTAACCCAATCACCATGATAATTACACATCAATGCTGCAGTGATTTTTTTTCTTGTTTGCTTTTTCACTTTGATTCATTATCACTATTGAGGTTATTTGGGTTACAGTCACAGACCCGCAATTGACACATTTAAGTTTATGTATCCAGTACATTTTTAAAGACATTGTCCATGATGTGTTTGACTCTCACCATGTTAACAGGTGCTCTCATTGATTAAAATGACGAATGCTGTAACTGGCGGTTCAACAATTAAAATTGTGAAGATTGTAGAGAAAATGTTTTATGTTTATAAGAGTGAAGTGGCCATGATGCCAGTTGCATATCTAGAAAATACTAATCCTGTTGAACCAGGCTTGAGACATCCTCCTGATGTGAAAAGCACTACATAAATGTAAATTGTGTTGTACTGCTATCTAAATATGATTCATGGAGGTTGAGAACGATCCTTATTAATGTAACTGCAGCACAAGTATGAATCATTCGGAGTTACTTATATTTACAAAACATACCAAGGCCAAAAGACCTTGTGAAGTTTGATATTTACATTTGAAACTTTTATTTTTTTTAACTTAATGACCCAATTGCAAATGATAACCCTTTTTGTGAAAGTTGATTATGTTTGACTTGCACGTGCACAAGGAGGCATTGGACTAAATTTTAATGGATATTTAAATGAAAGAGGCCTTGAATTGGTTTAGTTGAATAATAACAATGTTTTCCTTTTATTGACCATTATTTAGAACTCCTGAATCACATTCTGAAATATCTAAGAATACCTGCTAAAATTACAGCTATGTTTAAGTAGTGGCCGTTTAGATTCTCCCACCTTACAGGTAACAAATGCATGTCGTAGTAAACATCTGTCCAGAGCACAAGTGGTGATGGTTCATATTATCACGATGTCTCATTCTGCAGGGACACAGGCTATCCTCATCATACACTCCCATTACCAATAACTGGGAGCAGGGACTCTTTGCACTCGGTTCCCATTAACCCTCAAGCCAAAACCCCAAAGGGTAAGATGGTCCTAGCTGACAACTAGTGGGAATGCTTAATACTTTCCATAATTAGGTAAGCAGAATGCATCCCTACATGGAGAGAGTGTGTATTCCATTCCAATAAACATCTCTGGAATTTCCATGTATAGGTGCGATGCATGGAACTCTGTTTGGTTTGGATACTCTCAAACATGATGGCTGAAAAATATATATTCTGCGTTTGGAGATCATTGGTAATTGCACCTGTCGTTGGGACCTTGTATATGCTCCAAGTAACACAAATGCTTTTTGATGCAGAGTGAATTAGATGGCTTAAATTTGAGGTTTGGATTTTCAGCATCTCCTTGGACCTCCATAATTTTCATTTCCTGTATAATATTGAGGCATGGAATTGATTTTAGTTACATGTAGTCTGTTCTACACCATCTGTCTAGTAAAGGACACACTCTGAGCACTTCAAGCGCTCTGAGACGCCGTCCGGCGTGGAGGGCACTATATAAATCCAAGTTGTTATTGTTGATGACACTCTTCGATGTTAAGTAACTATTATAGATTTATGGGGAAAGAGAAGAAAAATCATTAAGTGCAAAAGGTAATTTGTGTAGTCTGAAGCAGTAAAACAATTGTGACAGAATGAACTTTACTTTTTAAACGCTTGAATTAAATTCATGACTTTTGATTTACCCAGAATTTAAATATATTTAACCAGCCAACCACACTGATTGCTTTGCAAGCCTCATTTAATACCAGTTGTACATTAGAGAAAGCACCTTTTGAATGCTTGATAGTACCTTGTTCAACTCTAAAGATCAGATATTATGGGTTTCTGCCTTTCAACACTTATTATAATAATAATCCTTGCATTTGGTATAATGCTTTTCTAGATGTCTCAAAGCGCTTCATAGAATATACTGTAAAGTGAAATATTTGTGGGCGAAACGGGGCAGCCAATTGCGAACAGCAGTGTCCCACAAACAGTCAAGGATTGAAGTGACTAATTTTTTATTGGATTTTTTTCTTGAGGGATTATTTATTATCAGGCGTGTGGAGTAAGGAAACTTGGCCAAGGTTTTGCCCTGCCGAAAATTGAACCCAGGTCTCTCGCTTGCAAGGCGAGTGCTCTAACCACTGAGCTACAGGACTCCTTTATATGATGGGATATAATCTAAGCAGAACATGATAAATGTAGAAAATTCTTTCTGAATAGTATAAAATTGTTTGATTAAAAATGTAACCACACAGCACTGTACACATCCACCTCAGACAGACAGCATTGGGGATATATCTATACTTCCAATTCTCATTGATGATCTAGATAGACTGCCTAGATCTAGACAGATTTCCCCATAAATCTATAACAGGTCAATCGTCAATGATGCCTTGGATTACTGTGGGCCTGTCTGTCTTTTCCAAGCCCATCTTTGGATGAAACATTGTACTGAGGTTCCATATGCCTATTCAGGTGAATGTTAAAGATCCCGTGACTCAATTCGAAAAGAGAAGGGAATTTTTCACAGTGTTCTGGTGAACAATCCCTCAGATCAAATTAATCATTCACTTCATAGCTGTTTGTGGGACATTGCTGTGCACACATTGGTTTCAGGGTTCAACCTCAAATAGTCACTCGAAATTGTGGCACCCACAACGGGGTTTGAAAACCTTGAATGCTGCAGGTATTTGGATGCCCTGCTGACAAGATTTGAAAACAGTGACTTATAGGAGCTCCGATCCAATGTGATGTGATCTCTTTGCAGGCTCCATTTCGGCATAGACTCCGCTACTGTCAGGATTCAGTATTTACAATTCCTTCTCAAACCCTATTGTGAATATTGTATTTTTGTATCCCAATGTGTCAATTTTGCAAATGGAATTTTGTGAGAGTTTGATGACTTATGAAGCACTGGTAAAATCTGGTGAGAGGTTTGCGTGTCAATGCAGCAATTTAGTGCTCGTAATCTAAATTGTGTGCAACTTCTATCAGAGCAGCAGATTAGAAATGGACAGTAGCAGACAATAAACACATAACTTACAAGTCCAGGAGAATGGCACTTGTGTCGCGGTGACCTAGATATGCAACAAGCGTTTGAACTGCGATACATCTACTTTCAGTGGTGTTGTCGCTTTTACACTGTTTGGCAGCTGAATGGAAAAATAAGTCAGGGTCACCTTCCTTTTGCCAACCCCAGTTCGGGATCTTCACACAATAATAAAACTACAAAAGAGTAAGAGAAGGGAAAGAGAAAGCACTGAGGAGACGTAAATGTGAATTTGAGTCCCAGATCAATGCATAATTCTTAAGATGAACTTTGACGTGAGTTTTGCTAATTCAGCAATTATGAATTGAATCTCCATTGCTATAATCTGACTGCAGGCGTGAATTCTTCTCTCCTACCCCCGGCCCTTTGGAACAATGTTGTGATTGTTTCCGTTATGCATAAAGTGAATCAATTTAAGTTAAGCACTAACATTTTGGAAAGACTGGTGAATTCAAGCTCATAGAACTGCACTTCTCAAAAACATTGGGTGCTTCCAAGGCATGTATTTTTAGGCCAGGTTAAGTATCCCTGACGTAATTTATGGAAACTAACCCTGGGCTTAAAAATCCCACTGTTGATAAGGAATAAGAGGGGACAAACAACAACAACAACAAGATTCCATTTATAAAGCGCCTTTCACGTCAGGAGGACGTCCCAAGGCGCTGCACAGTTGGGTCATGACCCGAGCAGGGGGGAAATGGTTAGGGTGAGGGGAGGGAAGGGAGGGAGAGAGGAGGGGGGAAATGGTCAGGGTGAGGGAGGGAAGGGAGGGAGCGAGGAGGAGGAAGTGAGTCGAGAGGGGAGCTGAAGGCTCGGTCAAAGAGAAAGGTTTTGAGACCGGCCTTGAAGGAGGAGAGGGAGGAAGTAAGGCGAAGGCACTGGGGGATGGAGTTCCAGAGCCTGGGGCTGAGAGACTGAAGGCCCGACCACCGATGGTAGGGCGATTGGGGCGGGGGACGTGGAGCAGACCGGAGCCGGAGGAACGGAGGGTACGGGCAGGTAGGTAGGGGGATAGTAGGTTGGAGAGGTAGGAGGGAGCAAGGCCGTGAATGGCCTTATAGGTGAGGATGAGGATCTTGAAATCAATCCTCTGGGGGATGGGGAGCCAGTGGAGGCGAGCGAGGGTGGGAGTGATGTG